GCATACATAATATAAGGTTCAATCATGACATGCCTGTGCAGTTATAGAAGTATATGTGGAATGAATTTGATAGTCAATTGTCCTTTAGGACAATTTTTCTCAGGTCTATTGATGCTGCTGTTGATGTAGACCTGATGCTGCAGTTGATGTTCACAATGCACTCTACATCTTTACTTCAGTCAATAAGGGTATTGAGGAGCTTGAAGAGGAGAATGATATATGAGTGGTCAAACACACAGTTGCAACCAATATGTCCACTACAAATTTATTGCGTCAAAATTGGCCTTGCAATTTTTAGACCCCATGTGCAGCACACTGCATCGACCTTATGCTTAATATATTATGTATAATTCCAGTATACATTTTTCATACGTTATATACTTGAGTCATAATTTTAAACAATGCTAGCCAATGGAAAAGGCAACATGGGGGTAGTGAACAAAAGATAGCCATCCACATTGTACTTACAAGAAGTGCATCTGGTTGCAAGGACCATTGGAGTTCATTTAAGATGATAACTTGCAAAGATTAATATTTCATAGTAATAAAATTCACTAAATTTTAATTTTTCAATATACAGGATACAAGTATATAATCACAAGTTATGATCATTTTCAAAAAAAAAAAAGATTATAACTTCATGCATTTATTATAAGTCTATTGAATAACCCTAATTCTCTAAATTATAGCTCATGCATTTTCCTAAAGGTGCAAGCAAGAAAAAGGAATATACTTGAGCAAAAGAACTTAATGATAGTGTTCTTCCAATATAGTCAAAGGCTAAAGGAGCATTTCAATGAGCTTAACAAAAATCATCTCATCGCTGGACATAGATGAAGCCATCCAGTGGTAGGTTGATCCTGGAGCAAAAAACATCTTGCCTTATAGAGGGTTCGGACTAGTATATCAATAAGGGGGCTTTGGGGCCTGCTTCTATCCTAGGAGGACCACTATTTCAGCTACTATGCCAGGTACAAAAATGAGGAGCAATCAAAGAAAACTGGGTAACAAGAAGCAATCAAAAAATAAAATCAAGATGCGAGTTCCTGACTGTTTGTTTATTTATTTATTTTGCTGTTAATATTTATTTTCATCTGATTTAGGTTTTTTCTTTCTCCAGGGTTCCATGTTTTCCCATCTAGCTTTTGTCTTCTTCTTGTTTAATTTCTAATTCCTACTAATGTTTTGGTTTTCTCATCTTAGACATTTCTCTTTAGGTTTTTTTATTAGGGTTTACACTTTTCATTGATTTGCAGGAAATTGGATTCACAGTCGTGGGCGATGGTGGAGCCATATTGAGGTCCTTCAAATGGCTGAGTCTAAAATGCGAGATCAATTAAAGGCAAAAGTATATAAAAATAAAAAAAAAGGAGTGAAAAACTAGATGGCGGGCACACATCCACACACGAGGCAGAGATGCTTCAAGACTGAGGTGTCTGCCTAGACAGCTACACCATGCCTCGGCGGTGATTCCCCTTAAGGCCGCCTACCACCCTTTTAAACATTGCTTAGGAGAAACTTGGGTAAGAAGAATCAATCAAGGAATAAAATCAAGATGTCATTTCCTAACTGTTGTTATTTATTTTGCTTTTGATATTTCTCTTCATCTGATTTTTTTCTTTCTACAGGGTTCCAGACATTTCTCTTTAGGGTATTGGTTTCAATCATTAGGGTTTTCTCTTCGTATTGATCTGTAGAAAATCAGATTAACAGTTGTGGCCAATGGTGGACCCCTTCAAATGGTTCAGTCTAAGATGTGAGACGAACTAAAGACAGATATATTGGCTTCACGCATTTAATTTATTGTTTTCTGATACCCTACTACTGCAGTGGGTTTTTTTTTTGTTTTATTTTGCTATTTTTAGATTTTGGGTAGGGTTATTTTTGTCTTTTCTTCCTTGTTGAGATTTTAGAGGTAGAACAGAAAATTTCAATAGGAGTTACTTAGGATACTTATTTTAGATTTTTATGTAGGATATAATTTCTATTTAGATTTTTATGCCGGATATAATTTCTATTTAGATTTTTATGCAAGATATAATTTCTATTTTTGTGGGGGTTGAGGTTGTTATCTCTTAATGGGTTGATAAACATTAAGATAGAGAAAGATATTAACGTGGAATATAGGATAACCTAGGATTGAGGTGACAAGAAAATGGAAGATAGAGAAAGAGGCGTGGGACAGAGAGATACGTGGGCAGTGAGAGAGAGAGAGAGAGAGCGAGAGAGAGTTTTATGGCTTTTTAATTTATTTTTGTGATTTAATATCCCTTTTAGTTTGTATGTGAATGGAAGAGGTCCCTTCTTCGTAAAGAGATGGTGAATTGAGTAAAGAAAGAGTTTTTTTTTATTTTGTGAAGAGATGTTTGGGTGGACTCCCTTGTAGGGCTTGACAGACAATATTCTCTCACCTTTGATTTTTAGTTTTATTTTATTTATTTATTTTCATCTTTCCCCTGCATCAGTTGGTATCAAAGCCCTGAGATCAAAGACCCATACACCATATGAAGCATTTTGATCAATTTGATCAAATATTTGAGCTATTAGATCAAAAATTTGAGAGACAAATAAACTACCTTGACAAAATAATTCAACAATATCTACAAGATCGACTTAGTAGATTACAAAAAGGGGAAAAAGAAGGCGAAAAGGTTGATCTAGACGCGAAAGATGATAACAATAACCCAAATCTACAAGACATTTCGAAAATCAATTATGAGGAAGAAGATGAGCTGGTTGCAGTATGAGAAATCCAACCCTGTGAACTTGAAGGAGAAATCAAGATTCAGTTTGGTATTCCAAAGCTTGGGATCTCAAAGTTCCACTATAAATTATGTTGAATCAATCATTTCTTTGAAAAAATAAAAGTACCCAAAAGAATTTTGGGACTGCATCATCAACTTTTGAGAAGATCTCTAAAGGATTTTGAGTTCAACAAGCTCGAGGTTGAGCTTCTTCCAACCTTGAGAGAATAATGCAGATGGTGTTTTTATTTTTTTATTTTCTATTTTTAGATTTTATGTGTAGGGTTATTTTTGTCTTTTCTTCCATGTAGAGATTTAAGGGGTGGAATAAGAAACTTTGTATGGAAGTTAGTTGAGATATTCATTTTACATTTTTATGCAGGGTATAGTTTTTCTTTTTGTGGGGGTTGAGGTTGTTCTCTTAATGGGTTGATGAGCATTAAGAGATAGAAAAATATTAATGTGAGATAAGATAACCTAGGATAGAGGTGAGAAAAAAGAGGAAGACAGAGAGAGGTGTGGAGAGAGAGACATGGGAGGGAGAGAGAGTGAGAGAGGGTGACTGTTATGGTTTTTCTAAATTTTTTTTTGTTATTTATTATTCCTTTTAGTTTGTATTTAAAGGGAATAGGTCCTTTCCTTGTAAAGAGAGGATGAATTGAGTGAAGAAAGAGTTCTTTTTTATCTTGTGAAGAGTTCTTTGGGGTGGAATCCTTGTAGACCCTGAGTGAGAGTATATTCTCTCACCTCTTATGCTTATTTTCATTTTACTTATTTCTTTTTCATTTTTCCCCTGCATCACCTACCTTTCCTTTCTAAGTGTTTGTTTTACAATCTACATATGATTTTGAAAAATTTTCAATAGTTAAGGTGCACTGATCATGATTATATAATACGAAAAGATTCTTACTTGCAGACACATGCATGCCTGCATGTATGCACAGTTATATACTAACTTAGTAGATTTCAACATGTCATTTTTTAACCATACATCATTAATCTATGCAACATTTTTTTTCATTTTCCAATCAAAGAAAGAGGTTACAATGATAGAAAAGTTAGATACATTATGACAGCAAAAATCAACAATTCAAGCGCCTCCTTGCACCTCATAAGCCAAGCAATTTGCCACCAAAATTGTCTTCCTATAACAGTAACTTAGATCCTTAACAACACTGGTTAAATATCTATTTTGCAAAACCCCACTATTCACTCAACAAAGGAAGCAAACTCACAAAGCCCCAACATCACAATTATGTGCCTATTATATCACTTTGAGTCTTATATCATGTAACACATCACGAGCTTTTCCTCTTAAATTATAGAATGCTAAAATAGTAAATGCAATTTTTCTCTTCTTATTCTTCTAATGATCTTCATTAATTTCACACAATTTTCTGCTTTTTCAGCTTCCTATCCTACATGAACCAAAAAAAGTATATGCTCCCATGTAACACACTACATTCACATTTCCTGCGATTTATTTATTTGTGTTCTTGTTCCCTTTGCTTTAATTGCACTACAATACAGATAACACCACTCATGACCATGCCCCGTACATCCAACTTCTCACAAATTCCAAACCTCAAATTTTTACAAACTCAAAAGTATAGATATATGGATGAACTCAATTATGTAATTTTTAAGCCTCTCAAGGTTCATTAGGGAAACATAGGAACGTTACATGAGAAAATTAACACATGGAATGGTTGCTCCTTCTTCCACCAATCAAATTGCACAATATATTTCTCTAAAGTCTATTATTTTAAATTGAAAGCATACTCTTAAAAAAAACTTGACCACTATTTCTACCATAAAGACACCCAAATGTCAGTAGAACCTCTCTCTCTCCATGCCCATGCATCACATGGGCTTCTTCCTAGTTTCTTGTAATCCTCCAGGATTCTAATGTTCAGCAACAAAGAAATTATGATGGTAATTTTCTTTTGAAGGTTCCCATACTCCAGAACATTCAGCTGTCCATGCTTAGGGTGCTCATAGAGGGATATGATTGATTTGATTGAGCATAACATGGAAGTGGATTCCTATTGTCGTTCTACTACCAAAATATATGCATAAAAATGGCAAAAAAAACAGCATCGCACCATCTCGAACTTATCAAAAATAAATAAACAAAGAGAAATTGCACCCATTAAAAGTTCATTAGTCAGCAAAGAAGCTAGAAGGAGATACTTGATGATCAATCGTGGAATGGCAACAAGAAAATGAATAGTACTCCGAACAGACAATACCAACCTGGACCACACCCTCATAATCAGTTGATGCCAAGTAGTTGTTGATGTAGTTGTTCCAACAGACACAACTGAGCTTTGACTCGCTTGACATTTCAATTGCAGGGTAGTGGAAATCTACAGTGTCATTCAACAGTGACCCGAATTCAAAGATCTTTATTTTTTTAGACACGCCGGCAGATGCAAAGTATTCTTCATCCCGGTCAAAACTCAATGAACAAATGACATTTGCAGAATTGAGGAGGTCTCCATTCCTAAGAGTAGCACGCACTTTGAATTTACTGAAGAGGGCATACTTGCACAAACCATCAAAAAAGACACCAATACGATCATCAGGCTTATAATTCTCGCAGGATTCATCACTGTCAGTTTGTCTTGAGCAGCGCTCATTATGATTCTTGAGGACATCTCTATCAGAGCGTGCTGCTGCATTAGCTTCAGGCAACTTGATTTTGGATCGCATAGAGAAGTAAGCTTTTTCAATCTGATCAATATTTTTCATTATTCTCTCTTCATTGGGGTGTAGTATGGGGGCCCAACTGGAACCCTCTGAACAATTCACCAGCGGAAAAGATTCTCTATGATGGAACTTTTCAGAGAGCAAGCCTCCTTGTATTCCTTCCTCAAATATATCAGGGACACCTACCCTGTTTGATTCTTGGTACATATGAGGAAGTAACTCATGGCTTCTCAACAATGAATGCCGTCTTTCAACTTCCTCAATATCTTCTTCTAAGCAATGAATTTGGTCAACAAGATTAGCAGCATGCTCCTGTCTCCGTTCTTGCAATGTTACAACGAAATGCAACAACTCCTCAGAAATGGCATCTTCTTCAGCAATAGATGATGAAGATTCCTTTCTGCAGAGGATATCCTGAGCTTCGGAAATTAGTTCAGACTGCAAAATTTCCCTGTTGAGACACCAAGTAATAAAAGTGAATAAGGAGCTCAAAAAGACAGAAGTTTGATATGTTCTGGATTGTTGTTTCATTATATAGATGCATTTTCGAATTGGTATTCTCTATTAGTCATCCAGAACCCCAAATAATTTGATCAATCATAATACGACCAGCTAAGATTGGTCCAATTAGAAAATTACATAAAAAAATAAAATATCAGAAAAAGAAATATATGAAAACACCAGGGATAGTGAAAACCTGATAACTGGTTCAAGATTGCAATAGCAAAAATTGCAGTAAATTGGAAGAATTATGCACAGTCCAAAGTCAACATACTCTGAAGCTACTTATAACCAAAAAAAAAAACACTATATACATATAATATATACATATATATATGCATTTCATTACCATGTAAGATGTTCTAAAAAGAAGCACGATTGACCCAACCATTCAAAATATGTACAAATGTGAATTATATTGTTTGACCATAACTACTGGATGTTTTGGTTTCATTTTTCTTTTCCTTTCCAATAGATAATATGTAGCATTAAGGAAAGGGTGTGGTTTGTGTAAAGCTGAGGCTCTAAACAGTCAAAGTAGAGCGCACATTCAAATATTGTCGTGAAATGTGGTTTCAATACTGAAAATCTTTGTGATAGCCTTAAAATATATTTTCATCTCTAATTATAAAATTTAAAGCTTCAAAAATAGTGTAGACCAAGCAGACCTATGAAAACTTGAAAATCTTGAAAATTGACGGTCGGCACTATTTCCAAAACTTGAAATCCATTTTTTTCTCATGTCCATGCATCTTGAGGTCGAGATGATCAATTTGAGGACATTTGGGCATCCAAACAACCTCTTCTAGTGAAATTTTTGAGGTGCGATCTAATTTGATTGTTTAGAGCCTCAGCTCTATACAAACTTTTTCCTTAAGGAAATGGCAAGACATTCATAGGGGAACCGGAAAGTTAGAATTTGATAGTCAAGAACAAAGATGGTTACAACAACCATTTTATAGCAAGCTAATAGTAAGCCATCATTGGTCTAAACTATTTGATCAACCAAGATGTAGTGGACGCAAGACAAGTGTAGAAGGAATAAGACTAAGACTAGCAAAGGGTCGATATTCACTGTGTTCTAGCAAAGGGTCGGTCTACCTTTTTGCATTCGCCTTAGAAGAAGTGGGAGCAACCAGCTGAAATATATCTCAAATAACACCTATACAGCTTACCAATATAGGCTGTCCTTGTACATGGTGAGAAGCATATGAAATCCATCTCCTTGGCTAGCGAACGAGTGTAGTGTCCATCTCTTTTCGATGTACATCCACCACACACCACCAAGCTAAATTTTGTAAAATGATCCTGATTACACTCACTTACTCATTGGCCAATTTTGGAAAAATATTTATAATACCATTATTTATTTACAAGAACAAAGGAGACATACAGAATTGTGTAAAGTTGCAAACCATCGAGAGATCAAGCTTATGAGCCATACTATGAAGCTCTGGGAGATAGTCATTGAGCAACGGGTAAGGCATGAAACGAGTGTATCTGAAAATCAATTTGATTTTATACCAAGAAGGTCAACAACTGAGGTTATTTTCCTACTTAGGCAATTGATTGAGAAGTTTAAGGCGAAGAGAAAAGACCTCCACATGGTCTTTATTTATCTAGAGAAAGCTTATGATTGAGTGGCAGGTATTAGAAAAGAAAGGCATCTCTAGATACTACATCGACTTGGTGAAAGATATGTACGATGGAGCAGTTACTCGTGTACGAACAACTAGTGAAGAGACGAGTGAGTTTTCAGTGACAATAGGTCTACATCAAGGGTTCATCATTGAGCCCGTACCTCTTTGTTTTTATTATGGACGACTTAACTAGGCACAAAATGGCATCAACACAAAACGGCATCAACACAAAGTTAGAACTTTGGAGGGATGCTCTAGAATCCAAAGGTTTTAACATTAGTCGGACTAAGACAAAGTATATGGAATGCAAATTTAATAATAATAGGAGTAGAGACAAAGAAACAGTTAAGATAGACGGCCAGAAAGTACCAAAAAGACTGCACTTTCAATATCTTAGGTCGATAATCCAAGAAAATTAAGAGATCGAGAAAGATGTCATACACAAAATTAGAGCTGGGTGGGCGAAGTGGAGATGTGCAACTAGAATTTTATGTGATCGCCGCATATCAATGAGGCTGAAGGACAAGTTCTATAACACAGTGGTGACCAGCTTTGCTCTACGGGGTGGAATGTTGGACGGACAAAAAACAATACCCATTGAATGAGTGTAGCGGAGATGAGGATGTTGAGATGGATGAGTGGTGAGACAAGAAGGGATACAATTCGCAATGAATCTATTTGAGAGAATTTAGGCGTGGCACCAATAGGCGATAAAATGAGAGAAAATAGACTTAGGTGGGCTGGCCATGTATGACGCTGATTATCTCTCACTCTAGAAACCCCAATTTCATACCCCAAAGGAATGGAAACTCCATGGAAATCAGAGGAGATGCTCCCCTTACAAAAGTGGGCATATAGAGTGAGAGCTTGAAAAGTATTTGCAGAGTCTTAAAGCTCTGGTTCTCTTGGGGGTGGCAATTGAGGGCTAAGAAGAATCGAACGAGGAGGTGGAGCAAGCCAGAGAAGAAGAAAACCACTACTAAAATGACAATAATGAAGAGAACAACATGGCTTATTTTGCTGGTTAATTGTTCTTTTTGGAAGTTATAAGGAGGTGGGTTCACCTAGTTTTGGTGGAAGAAACCATGAAATACCTCTGGCTGAGGAGGTGGGCTAGGAGGGATGACACTTGAGATTAAGCTTCGATTGCTTTCTGAGAAAACCCAATTTATTTCTCTGCTAAATCTTTACCACTATTTCAGATATTTCTCGGATAATCAGCCATTAATGGAGCTACCCAAGCTGTTGTATAAAAACCAAGTTGGTTTTTCTCCACAAAAATTCGATATTTTCGCTACTATGCTCAGAGATTCCTCTGCAAATCTGCTATTAGTGAAGCTCCAAGCTGTTCTTACAAAACCCAATTCACTTCTCGACAAAAAAGGTGAGACTGGTCCCTTCTATTCAAAGCTGCCCATGCAAATCCGCCATAGTGGAGCTCCGAGTTGTTCTAACAAAACACAACGCATTTCTCCGCAAAAGAACGAGATTGGTTCCCTCTGTTCAGAGATTCCTCGGCAAATCTGCCATTATTGGAGCTCAGCTTCTCTACAATGCAGTCCTTGCCTATGTTTCAATCCTGCCAGCTCATCATTGAAGTGTATAGAGACGGGGGATTTATCCCACATCGAAGAAGAGGATAGAGTCATGGGGGTGTAAACATTATAAAACGAGGGGGAGGGGGGGGGATGCTTACAATCAAATACCTACCAAAGGCTAAGAGAACCACCAGGTCTCGGTCCCAGGTCTTTAGTCTACTCTCGGGTATGGGTACGGGTACAATGTTTTTGGACCCGTCGGGTACAGATCCACAAGTAATATTTCGGGTACGAGTCCGGGTACTAGCAGACCCGACCCATACCCTACCCGTTGCCAACCCTAAGTGGAAGGACTGAAAAGAGCAAGGGGTAGGCCCAAAAGGACATAGTTGGAAGTATTTTGAAAAGATATGGGGACTTATGGCCTCACTGAGGATATGGCATTTAATAGAGCAGAATGGAGAACCAAGATTCATATAGCCGATCCCAATTAGTTGGGAAAAGGCTAAAATTATTTTTGTAACAAGGGTTCATCTCTATATGTCATTTCTTATTATACAATCAATGAATTACAATTACCCAATAAAAAACAAAAAACAAACTATAAGATGCTCTTGACAACTACCCTAAACTTCAAAATGAAGGGTCTTCCAAGAAATTAATGGGACGTTTGGCTCCTTGAGTAAATAATCCTAGGTTTTGAATCATGACCTTATTATGCCAAACCTTAATAATGTTAAAATATGGTAATTGAAACATGACTGTTTGGATGTCTTTGAATGGTACCCGGGTTATGCAAATCCTATGTTTGGCTCAGCTGTTTGTATAATCTGGGTTTATTATTTATTGAATACATTATCATATGTTACTGATACAGGAAGGAAAGGTGGGAATTGCATCCACCATTTTCCTGAACCTCAAACAAGTAGAAAAACAAATCAAGCCACGAGAAGAACTTTCTCTTTCATAAAATAAAATTCATTCCAATAACATAAGCATCCCAAAATTTGATATTCAATCTTTTATAAGCCTATGAAACCATAAAATTTACTTGAGACCTTAGTAAACATTTAAGACTATAATACCCCTAATCAGTAGTAAATTTTCAGAAATACCCCTATGAATAGTAATGTGAACAATAACATGAATAGTACCTATGACAATGTATAATAAATTAAAAATATAAAAATAAATCCTAGAATCAATAAAAAAACCCTACAAATAGACCCCAAAACTAAAATTGAAATATCTTTTGAAATTGAATAAAAATTAGAAATAAGAATAATTTGACCTACATCATTCTCCCATGATTGGAGAAAACTCGTCCTCGCTGAGAAAGAGATGGCTTTTCTCAGATGAAATGAAACATTTGATTCACGTAACAGGAGAAAGATTTCCCATTCCTTGGCCGAAAAAATATATATGTGGCCATGAAATAGGGATTAACTGGAATTGACTGGGTGGTAGAATCGTGGAAACACGATAAAATCCCATTCTTCAGGTTAATCCTGATTTTGAAGTGTGTTAAGAAAAAATTTGCTTTAGTCCCACAACCTTCTTCAATCCTAATATTGTGAACACGATCCTCGAACTTGCAGATTATTGCACTAATCAAAACACAAAGATTGTGCATTGAAACTTAGTCTTTGCCAGTGTTTCAAAAAGTGCTAGGCGGCAGGGCGGTCATGGCCGCCCAATGCTTAGGCGAGCGCTTAGAACCTAGACGGCCCAATAGAATGAAAATTTAATTGGGGCTTTTCTCTCTCTAAAAT